GTGTGTGTGTGTGTGTGTGTGTGTGTGTGTGTGTGTGTGTGTGTGTGTATGTGTGAGAGAGAGAGAGAGTAACAATCAATGACATTTTGTAAACACAAGTAATCTGAAAACACACCCCCCCCCCAAAAAAAAAACCCCTACCTATATAGCTTATGAAAGAAAATAACACTTCAGTACCACAATATGTGAAATTATTAATCTATTGAAGATCAAAAACAAAAGTTTTTGGATAGTTTTGGCAAAACTGGCTCACTTCAAAATCAGCATCCAATGTTCCCAAGCTGAACTGAATTATTACAGACTAAACATAAGATACAATCAAACCAATAATGAATTCGCAAAATTAAATATCGATATACATCAGAAATAGTTTTGAAGATTCAGAACAACATGGACTGTTAGTAACTAAACTGTGTAACCTATTTGCGCCTTTCGACATCAACACAACCAAACCCCATGGCTCACATTCTTCTTCTACAAAGACTATCAATATTTTCATAATCAGCTAAACCGTGTTTTATTAATGATTAATGCTCAATTTGCAACTTTTCTCATTATAACAAATGTCTCAGCAGAAGATAAAAATGGTTTCAGAAAGTATAAAAGTAAGTTAAAACCTTGCGTTGCTCAATTTACAGTAGATAAGTCATCCATTCATTGCAAAGTTCAGATTAATTATCTTTTTGTCATTTTTGTCGAATCATTCTTAATAAGTAGAAGTTGTTGGGTTTTTGTTGGGTGGTGAAGAGTTAGCTTGTGGTAGGTCAGCACAATAAAACTTTCATTTCTCCTCAGGAAGATTGTTTAGATAATAGTCACTGTGGAAAAAAAGAAAAGAAAAGAAAAGAAAAAAAACACTACAGTGCATCAGCCACTCCCTGTTGGTCTGAAATAACTTGTTAAAGAAAGGTTCAATACAAAACAAATCTACTTTTAAAATTGACAATGTTATGTTCAAAGACAGATAAAAAGTTAGTGTTATCAATTTCTAGTCACATCTGCAAAAGATAGTGCTAAAATACATAATATACAATAACTTGTTCTTCTTTTGCTAAACCATCATTATTAATCACTGTTATAACATTTCAATAGAAATTCTGTCCACGTACATGTATCACATGCCTAGATGGCTCCATAAGATTACTTTCAAAATAGTTAGAAGTGGATAAAACAAAGCATAAAATATCACAGAGTAATGCTGATATGCAATTCTTTTTATGGACGGATCTCAGGAATGGCAAAACATTAAGATATGAAAATATACTAGTACTAGTACTTGTGTGTATATTTATCACATTAAAACAGCAGGAAGATACCACTAGGGTTATACTCAGATAATGCTAAATATCACAGCTGATAAAGAAACATAAGCAGAAAACATGATACACTGAATGCTAAAATCTCCAGAGAATAACATGTATTTCTTTAAATATAGTTTTGTCCACAATGGGACTGAGACATATGGAATGTTGTAGAACATGTCATACATTGACCCTCAAATAATAATACATTATATATATAGAACACAGCAGACAATACCTTCTAAAATTCTAATTTACAGGAAATACTTACCTTCAAATAGATTGTCAAAAGAGGAGATATTGATCTTCGTAACTACATCCTATATTCTACAGACAAAACTGTAGCTGGTGTTCAACAGTAATAATGCATGTCAAACCATACCCAATTTTTTTTTTTAATTTTTTATCATATCAAAGTCATGTTGCAAAATGTTCATTTGTCAGTCAAAATGGGTAATACTTTTAATTTTATTCCAACATGAAGAAGATATAACAGAAATCTCATCAGTCATCACAGATTTTTCTTTAAAAGCTAAAGGAATATTATATCATAAACAGCAGTCAGGGATGTTCTTGCTCCGCTCGTGGTAAGCAAAACATGAAATATTTTATGAAAGAAAAGAGTGAAAACATAGAGCATACCAAGTAATATTTTTCCAGGTAAAGTAAGCTGTAATTGTTACCGACCACGCAAGACAAGTGCTTTAAAAAATTTTTTTTTACAAAAATGAGATATGAATTTTAAAATGCGTTAGTTACTTTCTTCGTGTTGTCTAAAAAAACACAAACTAAAGTAAGTTTTCACACTTTCCCCAAACTTCCGTGTTTTTCTTCTTTAATCAGCATGACCAGTTGCTTGATTATTTTTATCCGAGAAGAACCTAAGAAAAAAATTCCACAATACTTTTTAAACACAAAAAATGAACCTGGTTCTTCAGCATAAGAGACAAGAATAAATTACCATATGCTACAAGTAAGTCAATAAACCCAGAGGAAACAGAAAAAAAAATTCAACCACCTGATGATTTTTAGAGTTAGTAAACAGACCTTACTCTTTCAGTCATGTTTTTATTGATCCAGCATTCAATCATATAGAGACCATTTAAATCAAGAGTAGATTAGGAACTAATATGTTGATGATGATGGCCAGAGAAGTTGAAAGAAACCCCCAAGAGCAGATATCCCCCAAAAAGTATTCCTTGCAAAAGTATTAAATTAAAAACGTTTCAACATCAGGTCCACTTGTGAGATAAAAGTAAAAATAACACAAGTATTGTGAAGGATTTAAAACATATACATATAAAATTGTGAAGTTAAATCCAAAATTTGAACTTGAAGAAAGCTTGCATGTCAGGGTCATCCACCGATTTGTTATTAACACCAGCGTAAACTTTCTTGAGAAGATCATTCTTCATCTTCTCTTCCAGAATTTTTGTGTAGCGCTCGAGAACGCCTGTGATTTAAAAAAAAAGATAAACACAAACAGAATAAGACCAGGCAATGCCACTTTCAACTGAAAGAACTAGTGAACACACTGAAAAGATAAAATTTCTTACAATACATCTTTAAAAATCGTAGTATTGAGTCCTGGATGGATGGATGTGCGTTAGATGCACAGGGAAGAAAAAGTGACGCATTTTTTGGGAGATTGCTCAGATGAGTTGGGTAAGATGTTCCCTCCTGACAAATTAATTACACAATTACAGCTTAAACACACACTATAATTATTAAAAAATAGACATTTGACCAAAGTAAGTGAATTTTCATATCTTAATCATTGTCATTTTTCCAAACATATAAATGTTAACGAGAATCCTCGCAAACCCACCCATGTCTCTATACGAAGCTAAAAGAAAGTGTAGTTTGGGTAACTGTTAACCCATCTATGGCAGCCCTGTACTGTCACAGATGGTCAGGGTGGTGTGAATGTGAAATTTCACGGCTGCTTGTGAAAGTGCTCAAATTGTGCCCTTGTATGAAAACTTTTCAGGGTAGTCAGAGGGGTGAAATTAATTCGACCCCTGACTTCCACCCTGATCATACGGCCAGCTGAGAAAAAGTTCATTTTTGGGTAGCCTGAGATGATAGACGACAGGAAGGAACAACGTAAGTATTGCTAATTCAAGAATTCTATTCTCAGACATTGAATTTTTTGTTGACTCAGAAAAGTTTAAGTCAAAATTTTAGAAATATTCTCAGTCACTTACCAACTCCATACACTTTTCCATATGCTATTAGGTTAGTTGCAAGTCGCTCATCATCAAACTTTTGCTCTTTCATCAAGATGCGAACAATCTCCCCGAATATGAAACCATCATCAAAAGTAAGATTTTCAGAGATGGGGAATTTGCAATACACATCAACTGCTTCCAAGGGGTTGGATTTGCTCAGCATTTCAGCACTTTCGATGTATGCATCATGCACCTGTATATTGAAACAAGAATGTGAAATCAAATATTTATTTTACCACCCCTTGAATCAGTCTACAACCAGGTCAATGGATGAAGGTATAAATAAATGAGATACGACACAATAAAAAATTTCCATCAACGAAGATGATATAGTGTTGTTACCGACAGTAAGTTAGTATCGCAACAAATAAATTCCTGTAATTGACAGATTAAGGACAACTGAAACACTAAAAGGAGCACAAAAAAGCAGACCACGCTGGAATTATCATCAGCCCCTCCCCTTAAGATTCGTACAAGAATTCTTCAAAGGATAAAAAGTGAGAAAATCAATATAGTGGCAGTGTAATAAAAGCTACAATTTGATCTGTCAGAATCATGACAGTAGAGAATAGCAAAAGTGACATGAAAAGGCCTCACAATATAACAGCAGTTTCACAAGGAGATGCAAAACAGAAAAGAAAAGAAATAATAAGATATTTAAACTCCTAGAAAACTTCAGTTATTAATAAAATTTAACGACTAGATTTTAGTATACAATAGATTCAAGAAGAAAAATATTGACAAAATAACACAAAAGAGGAAAGCTTGCAAGGTATATTTTACCTCTGGGGCCATGTCAATAACCTCGGCATAATATTTTTTTGCTTCATTCGGTTCATTGGCAGCCCTCAGTACCCGAGCCAAGCCCAACCTTGCCTGGTACGACTTGGGATTTGTGATCACAACCTTCTTTGGAGCTGCTTTGACTTCTTCTTTCTTTGGCTCTGGTTCAGGAGCTGGACAAGGGCAAGCAAAAAAGTTAACTGTGATTCAGTGTCTTGTTGAATGCAGGTTCTCGCTATGTACTTGTTGGTGGTTGTTTTGGTGGTTGTTGCTTTGTTCAGGAAAACTGAGAGGCCAAGAGCAGAATAAAAAGAAATCCAAGAGTCTGATTTGAAAAGTCCACAGTTCAACTCTCATCTAACTTTTTCTATGTTGAATCCTCTATAAATCCAGTCTAACATCTACTGTTAGAGGAATGTTATTCCCCAAAGCACAACACAAACCAGAATTACATCACCATATTTTTTTGTTTTTACAGTAGTGATTATTTATTATATGATGTGCTGAGAAATGATCCTCTACCCCCCCCCCTCCCCCCCCCCCATCACCCCCAATTTTCTACATGACATGTATTAACATATCATCGTCATTTGCGTCATTTGATACCCTTAAGTTGCTCACCTTTCGTTTCTGCTGGTGGTTCTTGTTTCTGAGCAGGTGCAGGTGCAGGTTGGGCTTTCCCTCCCTGTCCACAAACAAAGAAAGTTTTAAATTCTTTTTTCTTTACATCATGACTGTGACAAGTACACAGTATTTCTCTATTTCTCTTTTTCAGCCAATAAAATAACCCGAATTATAAGGACCCAAGCTACCTGTACTCTTCTGTGCACCAAACATGTACCTCAATGTAAATCTACCAGTATAAGGCTGTAGGCCCAGAGGGTTGAAATATGAACCATTACGTTCACTTTCTGGAATCTATAAATTAACAATTCATGATCAAAATTACTTCTACCTATTTCTTTACATACAAATTACTTGTTCTGATTTGAAAAGCTGCGACTATAAGATGCAATTAGCACATTACAATTTGGATAAGAAACTATGCTCTGATTGAATGAACTTTCTATCTTTTTTAATTAGAGATGCAAAAGTTGTTAAAGCAGCAAAGTTAAGTTTGTCCTTTCCTAAATCAATGAAGACTTATTCAGACTTCTTTAGCTGTGTAACAAGAGATTGTGGAAAATACAATGAAATATTTTCCTATGGTAAACTTTATCAGTAGGCTTATAATAAACTTTATCAGTAAACTGCAACACAGAAGTTATTTTATCAAGTATCTCCGTCAGATCACTGAGATATGCTGCATTCTATTCAGCCTGCATTGGCCCTGACCGGAAGGGTTGAAACAGCCCTATCCAAAAATTATCTAAATTGCCTCAAAGCAGACATTAAAGTTTTACAAAACTTTATCATAAATAAACACTAAAAAGTGATTGAGAGCTAGATTCTTACCCTGGCAGGGCCTCTGGCAGCTGGTGCCCCTCTGGCAGCTGCTCCACCTCGAGCTGCAGGACGTAAAGACAGGAACGAGAGAAAAATATACACATTAAACAATGGGCAAATTTCAGTTTCTGAATTATAATGTTCTTTAATGGTAATCAATCATCAAAGCAGAGTACTGAAAAACTCAATTTTATTAGTTGTGTCTGAACTGTAAACTAATACACTGAGGCAACTTCTGCCCCAAATTCTCCCCTCATTAATATTTTACAGTAAAGAATGGTTGAGAGAGTATTACTACTTTCTCTTTAATCATCCCATCAATTTCAATCAAGCTTCTTTTATGTTGATATTCGGTATAGGGCATTGAACATCCACAGAGTGCACATACGCTATTTATAATGTTCGAGAACTATGATGATTATTATTATTGTTTTTGTTAAATCATTATTATTGAATTATTATTATCATTCTTATTATACTGTTATTGTTTAGTATTATAACGTAATTAATTGTTTTATTTACCATGTGCATGAACTTTAAACATATCATGAAGTCTATTCAACTTCGAGAGGGGAAAGTTATTCAAAACCCCTTTGATATTACGCCCATGTAAAGATGGAAAACAAATGGGTTTGTTGACAACAATGGGATCAAAGCAAAAAAGATGAGAAATGAATGAAAGCAAGTACATGTATAAGCACCATAGCTACATTAAAAGAAATACACCAGTATCTCTAAAAAGTGCCAAAGAGGGTATATGAAATTATGCATTTTTTACATTTGAATACACAGATGACTTAATAATAATTGTAATGGCAGAGCAGATTAGAAATAACAGGAATCACTACAACAGTAATGAAATGTGGCTGAAATTGTTAGGACAAAGCTTCATGTTAACACTTTGAAGGCATTGTCAACAGACATCTAGAAAAAAAAAAGAGAAAATTTATCTGTTTTTAAAATACAGTAGTCTCCACCTAAGATCCCAGTGCTCAGACGCAAGGAAATACGGAATCTAAGGCGAACCGGGATCTTAACCGACAAACCCAAGGAAAAATCTATGGTGACCCATGTTAAGGCTTATAATCGGTAAAATGGTCTCCCTCCAATCTACAATGAACTGACGTGCCCCCTGGGTGGGTTTATGATATATGGCGAGCAAAGAGTGATGACCTATCATAAGGCATAGTGGCATGAGGCATGCCATTTTCACTTATTATCTTATTGTGTGTCTCAATATCTATGCTTATCCAGTTGCTCCTCCTCTTTACCTGTTGAAAATTTATACTTTTCCTTCTCTAACCAAGTTCCCTCACCTTTGTCGTTACGTACCACTACATTATGACCACATCAATTAAAATTCAGTCTGTCTCACAAATTCAGGAGTAGTGACAACTGCTGCAATGGTCAGGGAAGAGTTCACAGTTCGATGTGACCCCGCCTGGAGCGAAGTGATGTAAGTTTAGGGGAGAGCTCAGATGCGAGTGCGATGTTTGGAGAAAACAAACGTGTCAGTCAGTTCACACCTCTGTGTGATCCCGTCTGGGGCAAACATTGCACCGCTTCATCGGTGTATGTGATCGCATTCACAAGAGTGGCTTATCTTTGATGGGACGGGCAGTTCATTGATCTCAACTTTTTACTCTTGGTTGATCAGCTGTGCCCGCCCGAGGTTTTTGTTCAGTAAATTATGATCTGAAATGCGAGATCTTAGCCAAATGTAGACTTTCAGAGTGAATCAGAGCAGGATCTTAGGGGTGACTTTTGTATAGTAAAAATTCAGTTTTCTTAAAACAGCGGGATCTTAAGTGAATCGGGATCACAAACAGTGGGATCTTAGGCGGGGACTACTGTACTGTGAAAAAATTGAAAATTTCTACATTAGTCGAAAGAGAGAATGAAAAGACCTAAAATGCACAAAGAAAAAAAAACAAAGATTAAACGCTTTACATATTAACTTGTCCTACTCAGCTCAGACTGTGGCATTAAGAAAGTTATTTCAGCCATCAAATACCTTCATCAACATGACATATACAAAGATACAAAGCTGTTGAATCAAAGATGAGGACATTTTGGAGGTCTAGGCTATATATAGCTCTATGCACAAATATTAAAAAGGTTAAATGGGGAGTGTACTTCCTTGTGTTGAAAACATTATAATCTTATCTTTTCCTTATTTTTCTTCATACACACAAAAAAGTAATTCTAAACATAAAGAATGGAAATAGAATTAACTGACATAACTATATTCTTTCTTTATATCTATCTTAAGTTGTTGTTTGTTTACCACTTTACAAATACCAAATATTGATCTTTAAGATTTTACCCACATGAGCATACTCCTTTCTTGTAAAGCAAAAGTATCATCCAGAAAATAGTTACTGCACAGGAACAAGCTGAAGGAAAGACTACCTGTTTCGATTCAAATGGCAAACATAGTTTTTATTTTTTTTCTCTTATCCACTCATACGTACACAGACAGTATACAATATCTTTCCACAATTGTTATGGTGTTTTATTTAAATTCTGGAAAATAACTCCCTTTCCCAGCTTCCTCCTCATTTCCCACT